TGAAGGAAAGGCGTGTGCCCGGATGACCTAACAAAGAAAAAACCGATCCAATAAAAACTACAAAGGGCAAGAAAAGTATTTTTAGAGGATGAATATATGTTAAAATGATTGATCTTTGGCAAAAGGAGTTCACAAACAAAATCAGCCGTTAGATGTGAAGTTGGGCGGTTGACAATGACTAGGTTGAAAGTCTAAAATAAAATTTGTAAACCCAATGACTACCCAATTTGCTAGAATTTACGTGTAACAACTATTAGTTAATGTGACTTTATATTAAAGGTAAATGGTCATAGAGCATAGAGTTCTATTTTGATCGAGTTACTCAAGTTGGAGCCCTTGTCAAACCTAAGTTGTTCGATCGAGTTACTCAAGTTCGAGCCCTTGTCAAACCTGAGTTGCCCCAAGTTAGAGGTTCAACTTGAGGACCTTATAAAATTTTAAAAACAAATTTATAAAAAATCCTTAAAAAAATAAGAAAGATAAAAATGTTTTTCATCATTTTTCCATAGATTGGAAAGTATTTTGGTACGAATGCTTATTTTTTATATTTTCCCATTTTTTTGAAAAAATTCAAAAATACTCTTGATATTAATGATTTCCAATTCGGATCCGTCAAGTCGGATCCAGTTCGCTTATTTTTAAAACTTTGGAGAAACTTAAAAGCTTCTCATGCAATGAGTCGGCATGCGGTGAAATAGGATATAAGCTTCTCATGAAATGGGTTGGCATGCACCACCACTTACGCACTCATGCAATGAGACCACCACTTATGTAAAGTGAGATATAAATGAAAATAAATTGAGTTCATGTCGTAAGAAAAAAAGAATATAAATGGCAATAATTAATAGTGGGCTCCAGTAATTTTCAACGTTTTTCTTTTTCTTTCTGAAATTTTTGAAACTCTCTGCACTTATTTGCAATCTAAATTTTTATTCATGCAATTTCTTTGCTTAAATTTGCCAAGGACAACTCCTGTTCATCTCTTCTTCAAAGTTTCTTTTATTTGCTATCCAAATCTGGATTAAACCAGTAATGTAATCCAGAGACGAAATAGGAGCATACATATAATAGAAATAGGAGTAGATGAAAAATAAAATTTAATGAAAAAATTATTAAGGGTTTTACATGCCAACTATGCCAATAAATAATAATAATATCTAGGACGGAATTATCGGAAAAAACCTCAAAAATAATTTAAAAATTATACAAAACCCACAAAAATTTGCGATCAAAATTATTTAAATTGAATATTTAAGAATTAATTTAATATTTTTTAGTATGAATTGATTTAATGTCTCACACAATGAATGTGTCATTTGCTAGTATGGCTTATCATCAACAGAGCACGTATATTATGCTCCTTCAAGAGCATACTGTACATTTAATCCCTCAAAAATACTTACTTGGGAGTTTTTTTTTATATAAATTTTCAGGATCCATCTAATTATTTTTAGATGATTATTTCAAACAATAAAATTTGGATTTTGAGTTCTTGAACGTCTGGATCATTCCTCTTAAAAATTGAACATTTCCAATGCAACCTTGGGATGTCCTTTTTGTTTAGGCTCATAGAGAGTTAATTTTTCTTTTTTTGGTTCTTTTTTCCTTTGAGGTTGATTCTCACGTTCCCAAAATTTGGGATCTAAAACATATTTCTGAGTGTTAGTTTTACCTGCGGAAGTAGATTTGATAATATACTCCACAGGAATAGGAAATCTTTTGCCTAGCCAAAATAATAATTACTATCAAAATAAAATAATATTTATGGGAAAAAATAATAATAATAAGACTCCTTGTGGGGAAATTAAATGGTGCTCAAGAGGTTACATTCACAAAAACACGAGATTTTAAAACTGCTAGAATATTTATCGCATATTTTCCGAGAAATTGAATGGTGTTCTCGGGTGGCAGCATTAATCGTTTTACCTTTCAAAGGTAAAGAAATTGTCTCAAAAGTAAAGAAATTGATTAAGCTTTTGATTTTTTTCAAGACGCATCATTCTTCCTACTACCATATTAACAAAGCTACATGTTTTAGACGTCTCACAACCCCTCATGGCACCTACAACAATAGTATATTGGGAACGCGCGACTTCTTCCACTTCTTTGAAAGATTCAAAGTCCCCTTTACTAGCTGTGTGTTTTCTGAAATGACCCATACTAAACATGTTTGTTTCGCCTGGAAATATTTATCGCATATTTTTTAAGAAATATTTTTACGTGAAAGAATTTTTTCATATGGTTGGTTAGGTGTGGGAATATTTTTACACTCAAAATTGGTCCCAGTGTATTATTTCAGATCAATTGACGGCTAAATAGTAAAAAAATATTCCATATCTATTTGAAAAGCTCTCACACATAATCATTGGAGGATGTTTTTTCACATGAAAATATTTTCAAAAGATTTTCACATGCACCAAATGTGATCTTAAAATTCTTTGTTAGGGTTTGATAGGTTGGTTTTATCACTTAACAAAAATTAATGAGGCGATTGAATCAGTGTTTATTTAGCTTAGGTTTTAAAAATATTTTCATTTAGATATCTTCGTGTATATTTCATTAAAAATACTCAAATTGCTTATATTTTAGGTTTGTGAGATGTGACCGATAATTCACCTACCAGAGCCACCTATAAATAACTCAAATAATTCCTTCTTCTTGGCGGTTACAAACATGGAGCACATTTTTCTATTAAAATTCTTTGTTAGGGTATGGAACTAGGAAGAAAATGATGAGATTTTAATAATTTAGCTTCATTTGAATAAGTCGATTAAAAGATACATAAATTTATGACGGTTTTTAGTTCCGAATCCATGATAATTTCGTAATAGAAAATACTTTCGGAAGTTAGACCTAAAACAGTAAAAAACAAGAATATTTAGGTCATGAACATGAACATGAGAATGGCCAAATTATAAAAAGATCCAAATAATATAGATTCTTTAGAAAATTAATAGTTAGCTCATTTAACATGTCATCGACTTTGAGGTCGTTTTTCCAATGTATTATCCTATTAAAAGAGAAAGAAGAGAGGGAACAATGACATCAGAGAATCAGGATTATTGGCTTTAGCTTCAAACCCAAATAATGAGAATCTCTATGCAATACAATAAAAATACATTAAAATTTTAAAAATATCATCAAAAGTTTCTAAAGTAACCCTTATATGCATACAAAGTTGTCATAAAGTATATAAAATTTTAAAAATAGAATTCAAATAAAATTTTGAAAATAGAACTCAAGTGATTCCTTCTTATTGGCAGTTACAAACAGGAGCACATTTTTCTATTAAACTTCTCTATTACGGTATGGAACTAGAAAGAAAATGATGAGATTTTAGTAATTTAGCTACATTTGAATAACTCTATTAAAAGATAAAAAAAATTCAATGCCATTTTTTAGTTCCATATTCATAATAATTTCTTTCCATATTCATAATAATTTCTCAATACAAATTATATGTGAAATTTAGACCTAAAACATAAAAAAACAAGAATATTTAGGGCATGAGAATGGCCAAAACATAAAATTATCCAAGTAGCACTGATTCCTTAAATAGTTATTAGTTAGCTCATTTAACACGTCATTGACATTGAGGTCGTTCTTCTATTGTATTGATATATTAAAAGAGAAAGAAGAGAGGTAACAATGCCATCAGAGAACCAGCATTTTTGGATTTAGGCTTCAAACCAAAATAAAGAGAATCTCTACACAGTAAAATGAAAATACACTAAAAAGAATATATCATCAAAATTGTCTAAAGTAACCCTTATGCAAAGGAGCCATAAAGTATATAAAATTTTAAAATTAGAACTCAAATAAAATTTTAGAAGTAGAACTCAAATAATTCTAGGCAATAGAATGAGAGAAAATACCTTTAGGTGGGCTGACCATGTGCAGCGTATACCCAGTGCAACATATGTTAAGAGGCGCAAGTTGGTTCAAGTGGAAAACTAAAAAAGTGCGAGGGTAGGTAAAAAAGGACATGGTTGCAAGCATTGAGGAAAAACATGAGAACTCATGCCCTCACTGAGGGTATGATCCTTGATAGAGTAAATTGACAAACCAAGATTCTTGTAGCTAACCCTTAATAGTTGAGAAAAGGTTTTGTTGATGATGATGATAGAATTGAGAATATTTAATCCAATTCATTCAGGTTTAAAACTAGGTTTAAAAACTTGAATTAAATAGGGCTTAGCTCTTGTTGAATCATGTATATTATTTTATAATTTTAGGAATTTTAGCATGTTTTAACAAGTTTCAAAAAAGGACTATACGCGTTATTTCCTTTGGTTTTCCTATGGGGTATAACAGGCTTTTTATGTGTTTTTACTGATGTACGTAAAACTCTATGTCGAGTCTTCTTGTATATTAATATTTATTTGGATTTTGTAATGGTTTTGCTGGTATTTTAAGTTTGAATGATTTTGTAATGAAAATCAGGAAAAATTCTATGTTGGGTCATTTGGTATATTTTCATACAATTATGTCCCATAATAGTTCTGCAGGCATGTTTTTCTGATAATATCTTCAAACTTGTTGATTTGCATGAGCAGTATTATTTGCAACAGCTTATGCATACCAATGACTACCTGATGATATCCTTTCTTTATATAAGTATTACAAAACTTGTTATTTATTGGATCATCAACGAATTAATCTTTATATGAGTAAAACTAACTTGTTTTTGGCCTGTTTCATTTACTTCTCGTTTCTTGATTCTTTAAATTATGTCATGGCACACTAACCTAAAGGATCTATTTTGACTTTACTCTTTCATCCACACCTTGAGGAGATGCATCATTTCTTGTCCATCTCTACGGAGTTTTTTTTTTCAAACTAGATACTTGTTCTTTCTTCTGTTTTTGTGTATCTGCATTGTTAGGATTGTTTGTATATATTGGTTTAAGTTACTACGAATTGGCCTCTTTCCCTAAATTAGAAAAAATTATAGTATAATACAAGTATAACTATCGAAGTGGCCAATACTTTGAGAAGGTGTGCTGCTCAAACATCCGAGCCGGTAGTCATTCATGATCTATATAATTATCATGTAGAATTGCAAGATAATTGAGATTTACATCTTTATTCTTGGGCCCTAGAGGACTACGCATAGAAGTTAAGGGTAGTCGGGTGCCCCGATTTTAGATCCGTGACCACCGTAGCTGTAGGGTGGGCTCTCTTCATTGCTTGCTTTAATCCCTCTAGAATAACCAACTCTCCCTACAACAAACAAATACGAATCGGAAGAGTTACTCTCAGTACAGACATAATACATGTATGAAATGAATATTTCAAGGTAAGAATAAAAGGAGGTTTGAGGATGTTTAATAGAGAAAGGAATTGGATGCGAATTTCGCCCCAATAAGGCCTCATTCTAGTTAAGGGACATTTTTCATGTGAAAATTTTCATTCCCAACATATGAAGTTCCATCATATTTCTTTAGAAGAAATTTGGATAAGATTTCACTGAACTTTGTTAAGGAATTCACAGTTACCTGATTTCTGAACATGCTTAAATGCTTGTACATCTCGAACAGCAACGCCAGTGTTAGAGAAAATGAGGAGCAACGCAACCACTATGGTACTAAAAATCAGAACACTCTTCGAAGCCATATCTCTGTGTGTGTGTGAAGGGAGGAGTAATCTCATATTCATATTTATAAACTTCCAAGAGAGAGAAAAGTATAGAGAGAAATAGAGAGAGAGGTCTTCGCTGGTGCCTTTCACTGGTGCTTTCCCAGCAAGCTAAGGGGGGTTAGGTAAGACCGACTTGGTCAAAGTCGTGGCTTTGAATGAAGCAAAAGAAGTCCTCCCCGTAAGAGTATACTATTCATCTACTCCCTTTGACCAAACTTGCACCAGCAATATCTTTTATATTCCAATTTTTAAGTATGAAATCTCTAGAACCTCGAAACCAACATCAAAGAAAAAATATTTACTTTCACTTTCTAGGTGCCTAAAAAAATGGGATTCCAAGATTGCACGGTAAAATTCCAATTTACATCAAAGAAAAAATATTTACTTTCACTTTCTAGGTGCCTAAAAAAATGGCATTCCAAGATTGCACGGTAACATTCCAATTTTTCGAGGGGATAATCTAACATATTTAACAATTCAATGTCTAATTTTTTTTTTAAAATAATCATCAAGATATAAGTAGATGGATCCCAAAATTTTAAAGGAGAAAGTTTATATAAAGTTGCAACATTAAAATGTAGAATTAAAGATGAACCTCAATAGTCCACTCGACAAGGTTGTTTTAATGTTAAAAGATCCTCTAATTAATCATCTCAAGACATTGAGATATATGAATATAGAAAAGAAATAAAAAATTCTGAATCCCAGAAATAGTGCATCTTGCAACAAATTATCTAGACCGTCCATTTTCAAGATTTTCATATCTTTATAGATTTACATGATTTTAACGGCTTTTGAAGTTTAAAATTTTATAATTAGAAATGAAAATAGAGTTTAAGACAATCCTAATAATTTTTACACCAAAATTACTTGTTATGATAAAATTTGAAGATGAGCCTTACTTGGATTGTTTAAAGTTGCAACTTTATAGAAACCACATCCAGTTTTAAATAAATAATTCCCCAAGTAAGTGTTTTGCCCGAGAGAGTAAATATATACTACGCTATGGCTTCAAATATAACATTTTTTATTTGGTGATATTATACTGTGAGGATGTAGACAATGAGCACAACGAAGTTTCTGCAGATAATGGCATCAGATGGTGGGTGTGTCATCTTGGCTCAAAACCCGAATGTTATTATGTTTAATTCAGGCTTCTTCATCTTGGCTGACAAAGAGAAGCGGTTCGGGCTGATTCAAGGAAGAGCTTAATATTAAAATAAATTAAAAATATGTAAAATGAGAAATATTTGAAAATTAAGAGAAATAGCGGATGGCCCATAAAATTTGAAAAATCTTACAGATGATCGTATGAAATAATGGTAAAGAGTTTATTTATTTTTCTCAAAACTATTCGTTGTTAATAATAGAGGACCTTTATTTATTTTTTACAGTTTTTCAAAAAAGGATATATCCAATATTATTATTACTATTGTTATTATTAATGTTGTTGTTGTTTATTACTATTATTACTATTATTATTCTTATTATTATTACTATTATTATTATCGTTGTTGTTGTTGTTATTGTTGTTGTTATTATTATTCATATTATTAAAATTATTATTATTATTATTATTTTTATTTTTATACTTATTATTGTTATTATTAATATTCTTATTGTTATTCTAATTGCTATTTATTATTACTATTACTATTATTATTACTATTACTATTACTATCATCATCATCGTCATCGTCATCATCATGGATATTTAAGTTTGTAAAGGAAATTAGGGGTCCTAAAAATATTCCTGCCATAAAATCTATACGAGAGAGCAAAAATCCAATATGCACTTCCAGGAGCAGCATGTTTTTTGGCCAGGAGATCGCAGCTTCTAATCTTCAGTCTTCCAGACACGACAGGAATTCAAAAGTCCAGCTTGCACATGGCACTGTAATTCACCTAATTTAATCTGCTTTTCGTAGACTCATTGGAACCCTTGTACCATGAATTTTCATGACAGCACAAAATAGCTTTGACTTGTGTTCGCACATCTTCCATCACCCATAGCAAGGTTTTTTTAAAAAAACTAATTGTTGCATCAAGTCGGCCTCCCCAAAAATTATCCGATCGGTGGATAGGCGACATGGATTAAAGAATCGACCGGATTGGCAAGTCTCCGCTTTAAAAACAAATTAAAAAAATAACTATAATTTCTCAAAAATTTAATTTTTTAGGTTTCTAAAAGAAATAGTTGAAATTGCATTATAGTTTTTCATTATTGTGTTAAAAACATATAAATTCAAATAACAGTCTAATATTAAGTGTTTGTTGTCTATTAAATTTATTTTATAGCCAAAATGAAGTTTAAAATATAACTCATGACAATAAAATGAATTCTTCTAACTCAATTTATTTTTATTTTTGTATTAATTTTGGAGTTTTATTTTTGAAAGATCCTGTAGGGAATAAATTACTAGAAATAAACTTCCATTTCGTGAAAATTAAACTCTCTCTCTCTCTCTCCAAATAACAATTATGTTTTTTTGAGAGAGAAAGAATATTCGAGGATATAATATTACAAAATAACTCAAAAAGAATATTCCCTAATGAACACTCTTCAAGAATATTTGAGGATATAATGGTGCATTCCAATTTCCAATTTGCTATGTTTGTTACTGGAGATGATAAAGCAAGTTCTAAAATAGAAGTGGCACACATAATTCTAAAGTGAAAGGGAATATCAACCATCACCTTCCATCTCTAATCTCTAACGAACACTCTCCGAGGTTCTTGCAGTTATATTTCTATGATACAGAGACTGAAGTTGGCAATCGTCTCAAAAATTACAACATATTGAACCCCATATTGATTGACCTCCTCACACATATTTTACAAAAATATAATCCCTATGTCTTAGTTCTTTGAAGATTGATTCATTACCATGATTTAAGACTATGTCGATTAGTTATCAATTGTGACCCAAGAATGGATCAAAGAGTTTATAATGAACCTAGTGCATGACAAGTTGCTGCAGTTTGGATCGAAACAGATAATGATGCACAAATTCAAGGTAGGAATATTGTTATCCAAAGGCAATCTGGAGAAACGATTAAAGTATCAGAAATTACAGGTTGTTATGGTCCATTACATTATCCATTACTTTGTCCACGTGGTGAAATAGGATGGCATCCCAAGATACTAATATGAGAAAATTAGTCCAACATGAAAAAAGGATATGCTACTCATCGTGAATATTATGCATATAAATTACAAATAAGACCTGGTGAAAGAAATAATTATTTTGCTAAGCGGTTGACTCTTACAACAATATTTGGTTGATATGTATGTACGTAAAGATCGATACATATCGCCTTTAGTTTTTTAAAGATAACGAACAAAAGTTAAGAAATGAGTGTTATCAAGGCCTACACGATAACATTGTAGATGGAGAAGTCAAAGCAAATAAAGTTGGCAAACGGGTTATATTACCAGCTTCGTTCATTGAGGGTCCAAGAGATATGCAAGCTAGTTCTTTAGATGCTATGGCGTTAGTCCGAAAATATGGAAAACCTGATCTCTTTATTACAATGACTTGCAATACTAATTAGCCCGAAATCAAAGGCAATTTGAACCCTGGTGACGTAGCCTACAATCGACGAGACTTTACTACAAGAGTATTCAGAGCAAAACTAGAGGACCTCAAAAAGTATGTCATAAAAGGTAATTTGTTTTGGAAAGTAATTGCCCACATATGTATCATTGAGTTTCAAAAGAGAGGTTTACCACATGCACATATGCTGCTAATTATGGCAACTAATGATAAGATACAAACAGTTTAGCAAGTTGAAACAATCGTTTCTGTCGAACAATATGAACAGGTAATAAAGCATATGATACATGGCGCATGTGGGCTTCGGAGGAAGAAAACATAATGCCATATCAATGGGGAATGCGGGTTCCACTATCCATGAAGTTTCTTAGAGACTACAGTTATAATACATGACAACTACCCAATTTATAAAATAACATCAAATTGTGAGCCACACATAATGGACAACAATGTCATTAATAACACTTGGGTAGTCCTATACAATTCAAAATTACTACTCCGTTACAGATGTCATACAAATGTTGAAGTCTGCATCAATATAAAAGCGGTAACGTACTTATACAAGTACAATATTTACAAAGGACACGACATATTGCAAATAAAAGTTGTGCCAGAGGTTGAAGAACCATTATTGACGAGGTCCAAGAATTCCAGCAAGCAAGATGGGTGTAAGCAACGAAGGTTGCATGGAGAATTCAATGAATCAGTTCAATTCAATGAAAATGATTACATTCCATATATACTTGAAATGAAAATGATTACATTCCAAGTGTTTATCGTCTCCCATTACATCTACCAAATCATCAATCAGTTCAATTCAATAAAAAGATTACATTCCACATATACTTGAAAATGACCAGTTGTCCTATACGATGTTGACAATGTTCTTTACGACAAATAGCTATGGTGTTTAAACTTGAAATTCTATAATCAAACGAACTGTGAAAAATAAATATAACTAAATATATATTGTTCTTCAATGTAGGATGATCCTGGAGAAATGTACGTATCAAGAGTTTCCACAATATTATGTATGGAGTGGCTCAAAAAATTTGGACGCCAATGAAACAAAAGTTTTCCATAGGTAGAATTTTTGCAACCAAAGAAGTGTTGAAGATTATGACTTGCCCTCTTACAATCCTGATATTAATAACTCAGACTGCGATCATCAATTTGTGCAAGAAGATACTATATTAAACATACATGACCCTAATTTTTGCCTCATCAGTCAATTAAACAATTGTCAGAAAAAGGCTTTTGACTCTATTATGGATTTTGTCTTGCATAATAAAAATGGAATTTTTATAGATTGTCCTAGTGGCGCAGGTAACACATTTCTATATCGTGCACTATTGGCAATAGCGAGAAGTAACAATAGACTGGCTTGGTATATAGCCTCCACAGGAATAGTAGCAATAAACCTACCCGATGGAAGAACAACCCATT